TCCTCACCCCTCCTCACCCCCCTAATAACCATGACACAGGCGCATTGCAAACCAACGTGCCTAGCTCAGCCCATCCTTATACTCAGTTTCAAGCTTCCTTAGGACAAACTCTGAGTGTCCCCACCTCCTCTGTCAGACACTGACCTGGTAGGTGAAGTGGTTTTTGGAAATCCCCGTGGGGCGATCTCCAATGGTGACCTGAACAGGGCCAGATAAACCTCGCTTTCCAGGGGGCACATTACAGATAATCCTGTAGGGAACAGCAGGAAGGCCCTATTATGAGAAAGCCTGGAGAAATTCACAGCAGGGCTGCATTTTTAAAGAATGGAGAAAGGGTACAGGCTCTCGTGAGAACCCCTTTTCAAAATAAGTTTCATTAGCTGAGAACAATATAGTACAGAATCAGAAATAAGAGGAGTTTTCAGCTCCTGTTCTTGATTGGTTTTGGACAAAAGCTCTGGAGTTCAGCTTAGCTATAGATTCAGCCTGGCATTCTGGCTTTCCTCAGCCCTTTATTTGATAGGAATGTTAATGGCCACCTGAGAATGAATGCTATGCCAATTACATAGCTTAATGCTGCAGAAACCATTGTATTCCCCTATGGAAAGGTTGTGTTTGAAGCTTTTTCATTGAAAAAAAAACCAGTGTTAAGTACTGTACATGTAGACAGAAAAAAATGGAGGTTCCTACTCCAGAGACATACTATTTCTTTAATATTAGAAGTTATTGGTATCCAAGAAATTGATTGGTTACAGAATCTAAAGACAGGAAATAACTTTTATCAGATGAAGGGCAACTTTATATCAGGCTGAGGCAAATTCTTGAAACATAATAGATTAGTATCATAAAAGCAACAAATCATGGACTAGTTTTATATATCGTTCTAAATTGTGATTTGCTTATTATAGTTTGTGAAATAATCTGCTATTGATCAAATTCATGTATCATGCTAAGCCGTATTTCCTTTACAAACTGTTAGATTCAAACAATATGCTAAAGCAAAAACAAGAAACTCACATTTTAGCTTAGTACGTTTATAGACATTTCTAAAATTCTGTTTTCTCTTTGTCATTATAGGATACGGAATGTAGATTAATGAGAAAAAAATTAATTTCAACACCTGTAGAATCAGGCTGCAACATAACAAATTTGACAAAAGTGAAGGGGATCTGAATAGTTTCTGCATGCACTGTATTTACATTTAATATCTAATAAGAAGATGACACACTCAGCTTATCATCAGCTCATATAGAGTGATTCAGGCTTAATAAGCAAAACAATGTTAGTCAAATTAATTCCTGCCAATTTCCTTAAAGATCATATCTCTGTGCAACTCTAAACCAAATACTCACTGCTTTGGTTTTAAAAAAAACTGGCTGCCGTGTGGGGAGTAGCCCTTACCGAGTGGAAACTATGTACTGAGCTGGATCAGGAACACATGGCAGCCCAGCTACAAGCACACTTCCGGCCACGTCTTCAAAGCGATGACCCAGGTTGGATCCTATCACAGTGAGAGCCATTTCTCCTTCCAAAGGTCCAGTGAGTGGAGATATCTAGGAAACAGGATTATATGGCGTTATGACATTGCAGCTGTAAACTAGCTGCTTTCTTCAAATTCTGTTAAAACAAAAGACAGACATATTAGCACCAATGTTACAACCAAGCACCTCTCCTATATACTGTATATACTGAGGTTGGAACACCCAGTGGAACGGAAAGGTAACTGGATTGAGATAGTTGGCTCACCACTGAAGAGCTTTGACTCTATCTAGTGAATTACTGAAAGGGTGGTAGGTATGTGTGTATGTGGCAAGACTCAGGTGGTAAATCGAGATCTGAGGTTCCAAGGGAAAATCCTTATATTCATTCCTATATTAAAAAATAAAAATCTGCATGTAGAACAACTAGGCAGGGAGACTACTTGTGACATTGCTTCTCACCGAGTAGATGACGGGCGATGGGCAAGTAGCCACACCAAGTTTGGATGGGCAGGAGTTCTCATAGACACAGCCAGTCTCTTTTTCCAGCTGACACCAGACACAGTGGAAATGCTGGGGGGCCGCTTTGCAGCGACTGCAGTCCGAACGGTCAACAGAACAGTTGTACAAAGTCACTGAGGGGAGGCAAAAAGACAAGAGGTGAACACCAGTTTAACATTGTCCTGCTTACAGCTACCTTCTCTATGCCAGACATTGCTGTCCATTGCTATCCAGGGAAGATAAGCTACTGTGTTTCTCACAAAATAAGGCTGGGCCTTATTTTTTTTGTTGAACCCCGAAAAAACGGCTGGGACGTCTTTTCAGGAGTGAATTAATTTCTCCCACCCCCCCTGTGCACCAGCGCCGTCTCCAACAACAGCATCTGAGTTGCTCCCACTTTTTCCCCGTCCCCGTAACAACAGGAAAAAAAAGATTTTGAAGTATCTGGGAGCGCCATGCGCTGCGTTTTGGTTTAATCCCGAGCAGCTGGGTGGGCGTGAGAAGAGCCGAGTGAGCGTCTCTGATGCTGCTACCCTTGGTGCTCCAGCCTCAGGCTCTGCAAGTTTGCAAAAGTCCCGGTGCGCAGCCCGTTCCTGCATTCCAAGCACCCAGGCCAAGCTGCAGTGTCTCTCTCTTGCCAGTGCTGTCTCCAATAACAGCGGCAGCAGCGGTGGGAACCGTGGAAGTTACGGAGGCGGCTCCCCCACCCGAGAAGCGGCTGAAACGCTTCCACGGTTTCCCCCGCTGCTGCCGCTGTTGCTGGAGACGGCGCTGGTGAGAGAGGGACAGCTGCAGCTCGGCCTGGGCGCTTGGAATGCAGGAACAGGCTGCGCACCGGGACTTTTGCAAAGATGCAGAGCCCGAGGCTGGAGCACCAAGAGTAGCAGCAGCAGAGACGCTCGCTCGGCTCTTCTTACGCCCACCCAGCCGCTTGGGATTAAACCAAAACGCAGCATGCGGCGCTCCCAGGTACCTCAAAATCTTTTTTTTTTCTGTTGTTACGGGGATGGGGGGAAAGCGGGAACGACTCAGACGCTGTTGGAGACGGCGCTGGCAAGAGAGGCGCCAACACCAGTGGGAACCGTGGAAGGTACGGAGGCCTGAGAAGCGGCTGAACGCTGCCGGACATCCACGCCAATGCCGCCCGCCTGCTGACCCGGGTAATGGAGCCCTCCGTTCTCCACCATGATTGGCTGTTAAGAGTGGTTGATGGTGAGGCATAGCTGCCCGCGGGGCACTCCTAATGGGAAGTTCCCCCCCCGCCTTCCCCCCCAATTTTGCATGTTTTAAACTAGGCCTAAATTTGGTGGGGAGGGGCTTAATTTCATTTTATGCCTAGAAAACATGCTGGGTCTTCCTATTGGGGGGGGCTATTGTTGGAGAAACACGGCAGTGCCGTGATGGCGAACCTATGGCATGCGTGCCGAAAGTGGCATGCAGAGCCACTTCTGCTGGCACACAAGAGGTCACCTGGAAGAGCCTCACTGCATATGCATGCGCGCCTGCCAGCCAGCTGATGGTTGGGTATCTGCCACGCATGTGCAGGGGGAGATGCGTGCGCATGCGCAAAGGCATTTAACATTCGGGGGTTGCACATGCATGCGCAGAGGCATGCGGTGCCGGGATGCACATGCAGAGGTGTGCAGTGCACATGCTGGGGGTTGCACATGCATGCGCAGGGGGCGGGGGGAATCGCATGCGAATTGCATCATGGGTGCAGGCACGCGAGTGAGCGCACTTTTGGCACACAACATGGAAAAGGTTCACCATCACGGAGCTAGTGCAAAGCTACAGGATATTTAGAAGAGCAAGACATTGATGGGCATCCTAAAAGTTGGGAAAACCCAAGCTTAAAAAGTATTTTGCACTAGATTTTAAGCTTCCATGAATTATGTCTTTTTTAAAGAGATAACAAATATTTGTTTCTTTTGGATCATGCATTTTGTCCTGCACAATAGGGCTGTTTTGGTATTCTGGGAAAGGCTCTTGAGTGAAACCCAAACCATAATCACCAACCTCTGTCTTCCTTTCCCTGCCCAGCTTTTTTTTTTTAAATTAAAAAAAGAAAACAAGAGTATCAACAGAACATTATGAATAAACAAATTCAAAATAAGAAAGAACACTGCTCAAGCAGTGGGGAGAAAACTTGCATATTTGTGAGGAGAAAGACGTTTGTATGGCTGAAAGGGACGTGTGGTTAATAGAGGAAAAACGTATGACAATTACAACTTTTTCATTAAATGGATCGTTGGAACTCTAGACTTAGACTAATTTTTCAGCAGTTCTATAACCCATACTTTCAGATCTTTTTGCTCTAAAGTAAAAGATATTTCCATTTTTAATTTTGTGGCATTTAATCTGACAAGAAATCTGTCAATTATTTGGAAGCCTGCACTCACGAACAAAAAAATCTCCACACCACAAGCCAGACAAACACCTGGACACAAACAGATGCCCCCTGATACCTCCAGCTCAAACACAACCCAACCAGGCACCCAGATGAAACCTAGCTTCCTAACAAATGATAGCCATCCATTTACTCGGAGCCAAGCTGCACTAAAAGCCTCCAATACAGGAACACAATGTTGCCAGCCAATCAACACACACACACACACACACACAAAGCCACAAAACAGACAGAAGATATTAGAAACACCAATCAAGCAGAACACAGCAAACTCCAAGACCAATAAACACAGACCAAGACTCCCAACCAATCAGGATGAAGAAAAAA